TTCGTTGTTCCAGTTGACCAAACTCATAGCTATTTCTTTAGAACTCCATTTTATCTATCAGCTGAGTACAAGAAACCACTCATTTACCAATTTGAACTACCCAATATAGTGGTCAGAAATTGGCAATTTGGCCAATTTCACACAAATTAAAAAAGATGCCAATTTCAAAATAGGGTCCAGAATAAACAAGGTAGACATTCTTGGCACTAAAATAGCATATCCTCTGTTCATTAGTCACATCTCTAGGCTCCTCTTATATTATTATTTCTTTCTATTTTGATTTTTTATTCATACAAAAAAATACAAAATTTACTGTTATGCAGACTACTGCATTATTGTAAAAATGGTATAAATAATATCAGTGCACTAGTGAAAGAATATTAGACTCCCCAGTTGACGTGTATTGGACGTGTGGTGTGATTTGTTTACTCCTGAGCATTGGTAAAAATCAAACATTTCCGCTAATTTGAGCTCAGTTTCAAGGTCGTTTTCATCGTCAAAGTAATGAAAATCTTCTCTATTTCTGTAATATGTTTTCCATTTTATCACCTAAGACCATGAAAACGCGAATACAACGACAAATACTATACGAAAATACACCTCAGAGTCGGCGTTTTATTCCAAGAAAACGATCGTTTTTTTTTTTTTTTCTCATTACGCAATGTGTGCTGCAGGATTTTTTTTATGTGGTGCACACTGACCGCACAGACCCATTCTCTCACATGTGGGCCTACCAGCTTTCTCCCGCTTGATTTGAAGCCACTAGAATTATTGAGTATATATACGTCAGAAACGTTGGCTCGTAAGACATATTTATACGTCGAAAACAGTCAAAGGGTTAATTCAGTGGACATCATCCTCTTTTTCTTTTCAGCACTGTCCTTTGCACTTACAGTGGAACCTCAAATTTCGAACTTATCACTTATCGAACTCTTTGAAAATCGACTGCTTTTTTCGAACCAACTTTGTCCCTATTATCAAACTCGCCCCTTCTTTCGAACTGCCGGGTACTGGACCTGTCCACCAGCCTGCTCTGTCCGCGTCCCAGCGCAGGCGCCATGAGCCAGTCTGGCTTTGTTGATGCTTGAGTGAACACTAACCTGCGGTCTCGTAACATTTTACGATTACAGTGGAACCTCAAATTTCGAACTTGATCCGTTCCAGGAGCTAGTTCTAAATTCGAAAAGTTTGAAAGGCGAAGCAATATTTCCCATAAGAAATAATGGAAATACAATTAATCTGTTCCAGAAACCCAAAAATATTCACAAAAAAAAAAAAAATTTATAGACAGTATTACACTATAGTTTTACATACAACAAATATAGTGTACAATTATTAATAAATTTAAATAAACATATAAAATAACTTTTACTTACCTTTATTGAAGATTGGTGATGGCATCTGGAAGATAGGGAGGCGAAGAGAGGGAGTTGGGGGTTAGTGTTTGGAAGGGGAATCCCCCCCAAAGCCCTCTCTGGGGTTACTTCCCTTTTCTGTCTTTTAATGCCACTAGGACCAGCTTGAGTCACTGGACCCCTGCCTCACAAAATAACTGTCCACATACATCCTGGCAAGCTCAACAAGTCTCGCACCACTCGTGCTTCTGTATTATTTCCTTCTTCATATCTATTGGTGTTTCTCACTTTCTTTACTACAGGGGTACCACTAGCAAGTTTCTTTGGGCCCATGGTAGCTTATTTCACAGTTCCACAAGCACTAAACACAATGAATTATTCATAAAATGTTTGAGATTGTAGGTTAGTGTTCACTCAAGCATCAACAAAGCCAGACTGGCTCACGACACCTGCATGGGGATGCAGACAGGTCCGGTACCCGGCGGTTTGAAAATAGGGGCAAGTTCGATAATAGGGACAAAGTTGATTTGAAAAAGGCGGTTGATTTTCGAAGAGTTCGATAAGCAATATGTTCAAAATTTGAGGTTCCACTGTAATTCATTGTGTTTAGTGCTTGTGGGACTGTGAAATAAGCTACCATGGGCCCAAAGAAACTTGCTAGTGGTACCCCTGTGGTAAAGAGAGTGAGAAACACCATAGATGTGAAGGAAATAATACAGAAGTATGAGAGTGGTGTGCGACTTGAGCTTGCCAGGATGTACCGGAAAAACAAGTCAACCACCGCTTCTATCCTGGCAAAGAAAGAACAAATCAAGGAAGCCGGTGTTGCGAAAGGTGTTGATATGCTAACCAAAAAAAAGACCACAGACAATCGATTAAGTTGAGAAGTTGTTGCTGGTGTGGATCAAGGATAAAGAGATGGCAGGTGATAGTGTTTCAAAGACGATTATTTGTGAAAAGGCAAGGAAGTTGCATGCCGATTCAAAGATTAAGGAGATTAGCGCCAAGTGGAATGATGTCCAAATGTTTGTAGAGAAGTACCACCCTGAGCAAGCTGAAACAAGCCATCTTTGCAACAAGTTCAGTGACAGAACCATGTCCCATTTTAGGGAAATCTTAGAGGTGCCAGAAACAGAGGACTGTGGACAGTTATTTTGTGAGACAGGGGTCCAGCGAGTCTCAAGCTGGTCCTAGTGGCATTGAAAGGCAGAGAAGGGAAGTAACCCCATGGAGGGCTTTGATACCTGAAGTCCTTATGGAGGGGGATTTCCCTTCCAAACACACCCCAACTCTCTCTCTCCTCCCTATCTTCCAGATGCCATCACCAATCTTCAATAAAGGTAAGTAAAAATGTTATTTTATGTTTATTTAAATTTATTGATAATTGAACACTATTTGTTGTGTGTATGTAAAACTATAATCTAATACTATCTATAATTTTTTTTTTTTTTTTTTTTAATACTACTATTGGGTTTCTGGAATGGATTAAATGTACTTCCATTATTTCTTATGGGAAATATTGCTTTGCCTTTCAAACTTTTCGACTTTAGAACTAGCTCCTGGAATGGATTAAGTTCGAAATTTGAGGTTCCACTGTACGTACTTTCTTAGGACCCATGGTTAGAAAAGAGAAATTTGGCAAAATAACTGCACAAAATTCAAGCACAACACACGAGAAATGCTTCCACGGCAAGGTAAACATGTGCACTGCTGAGTGGATGTTGTGGCGTTCGCTGCGCCAACTAGTGGCGGTGTTCTGAAGCTCGCTTATAACTCGGAGAAAAAAATCGACTGAGCAACAAATCTTAACTCAAAAAACTTGTATGTTGGGGCACTCGTAAGTCGAGATTCCACTGTACATTACAGTGGACCCCTGGTTAACGATATTTTTTCACTCCAGAAGTACGTTCAGGTGCCAGTACTGACCGAATTTGTTCCCATAAGGAATATTGTGAAGTAGATTAGTCCATTTCAGACCCCCAAACATACACGTGCAAACGCACTTACATAAATACACTTACATAATTGGTCGCATTCGGAGATGATCGTTATGCGGGGGTCCACTGTACATGTATTTAGGTGTGCATACCGGTCAGAGAGCCTGTCGTAAGTCTGAGTCATTGGTAAATGAGTACATGTATGTCACTAAGTGAGGAGAGGCTGTATATATACTTTATATATTTTAATAATGAATAAAACATAAATATTGGGTGGGCAGAGCAGTTGTCCAAATGCCACATTATTTATGCTTAGTGACCGTCAGTATGCTCCAGCCTTTGGCTTGGTAATTCTTGAACCAGTCACATGTTAATTTGGTGGCCGAGGTGTTTATTTTCTTTTACTGGCACCATTATGCACAGGAAATGTCCTAATTTCACTGAAAACATTGACATACCAAAGACACAACTTACACTTATGCACTCCTACTGCATTTGCAGCTGCAGGCACAGTCCTTAATTCCTGTTGGAACTGACTTGTGTAGAGGAATAACATCAGTTGAACAGTGTTGCATCCACATTTTAACTATATTCAGCTGTTAGAATTTCAGCACTAATTTACTCTGGTAAACAGACACAAATACAATACTATGTAACCTTTATTGACAGTTTTTTCTGTAGTCACTTATTAAGTCACATCTGTTTGTGATGTGATAAAATCCACTGTGTGGACCAAACATCATCAGTAAAGGTTCTGTATACTGAAACTGTCTTTGTCTCTACCATAATGTCAATATCTCTTACCATTACTTATCCACTAATTAGCAGTAAGCTGTACAGCATCAGTATCTTTCATTGGCTTCATGGCAAGGAGAGCTGTTTCCTCCACACAGTTTTAGTTGCCATTTGTCATAGTAGGCATAAAATTTTTGAAAAAACCAGCATTGTTCTGTACTTGAATAGAAAACTGGCTTGAGTAATTGCCGTTATAGTAGTTATGATATTGGTACTTAATTTCAACAGCATTACATCAATACCTTTACTTGATACAGCACTGTAACTGCTTTCATGCTGATATTCACATCCTTCTGGCACCCACTTGGTAAAATATTTTGTAATTTGAAAATATATGGGGTGGAAGTATGTATTGTACCCACCTGATGTTTATTACCTAGCTCTTATACTGATATCCCTTTCTTTCATTTCATGTTTCTTCTTTAGATTATTATTTCCTTTGAAATTATAGCCTCTTTGTTTTTTCCCTGTTTTTCATCATGTGCCTTGGTGTATACAGGAGGGCCCTGTTTATACAGCAGGTTAGTTTCTAGGCCACCCCTGTAAAGTGAAACATAGCCCCCTTTTTTTCACTTTCAAATGCATATAAAAATTTGATTATGTGTTTACACTATAATATATTAAGTGAGTAATAAGAACTAGGCCTAAAAAATGCATATATAGTACATACATTACTTACCTTTAAGTATTTTGTCCTTAGCTTATAGTGAGTAGTGAATATATTTATTGTAGGAAGTCTTAATACTGAAGAATGGGTATAATCGAAAACTGCTGCATCAGCGAAGCTCCGTAAAGCAAAGCGTTGTACAGTGGGTCCTGCCTGTATGTGCTTCCCAACTGTAATGTTCTTTTTTGTATGTTTGTGTGTACACACACTCATTTTACAGAATTTTTATAATGTATATATTTACAGCAACACATTCACCCATCATCAGCATTGTCCTAAAGCAAAGGGGTCTTGCCAAATTACTCCTAACATTAGCTGCTTGGATAAGGAAAATTGCTCTAAGAACAACGATCAAGAGGAAAGCTGTTATAACGAGCCTTGTGAATGTCTATCAAGTAACACAAATTTCCCACCAAACCATCCTCACAAATCCCAAGATGGCAGCAATAACCACACAAGTGGGTCCCATCGTTCTTTCCACCCATTGTCATCCCTTCCTCATAGACCACTTCGGAAGCTGCCCTCAGGCATAGCACCACTCTGGAACAACATCCATGATAATGTTTCACAGCTGAAACCACAGACAAGCAGATTCTTCAATGAGGGTGGCAGGAGGATGAATCGTGCATTACAGGGAGTCAGGACATCATTTTCATCTTTTACACAGGTATTATATTTTTAAATCAGTAGAATACACTGTAATGACAAAGCTTATTTCATTTAAAAATTTCCAATTTCATTTTCATTTCTGGTTATTCCTTACAAGTATAATAGTCATATCAATCTACTTATAGCCAGGCAAACAAAAGTGATATCCTTATATTTAGTACAGTCTTCTTTCAACAGACCGGCCGTATCCCACTGAGGCAGTGTGGCCCAAAAAGAAAAACAAAAGTTACTCTTTTTAACTTTAGTAATGTGTACAGGAGAAGGGGTTATTAGCCTCTTGCTCCTGTCATTTTAATCATCTCTTGTGACATGCATGGCTTACGGAGGAAGAATTCTGTTCCACTTCCCCATAGAGATAAGAGGAAATGAACAAGAACTAGCAAAAAAATAGAAGAAAACCCAGAGGGGTGTGTGTATATATGTTTGTACATATGTTTGTACATGCATGTGTACTGTGACCTAAGTGTAAGCAGAAGTAGCAAGACGTACCTGAAATTTTGCATGTTTGAGAAAGAAAAAAGACACCAGTAATCCTACCAACATGTAAAACAATTACAGGCTTTTGTTTTACACTCACTTGGCAGGATGGCAGTACCTCCCAGCAACCTCTTAGGGAGGTATTGCTGTCCTGCCAATGAGTGTAAAACAAAAGCCTCTAATTGTTTTACATGATGGTAGGATTGCTGGTGTCTTTGTCTCATAAACATGCTAGATTTCAGGTACGTCTTGCTACTTCAACTTACATTTAGGTCACACTGCAAATGTATGCATGTACAAACATATACATATACACCCTCTGGGTTTTCTATCTTCTTAGTTCTTTTTTTTTTCAACAAGTCGGCCGTCTCCCACCGAGGCAGGGTGACCCAAAAAAGAAAGAAAATCCCCAAAAAGAAAATACTTTCATCATCATTCAACACTTTCACCACTCACACACATTATCACTGTTTTTGCAGAGGTGCTCAGAATACAACAGCTTAGAAGCATATACATATAAAGATACACAACATATCCCTCCAAACTGCCAATATCTTAGTTCTTGTTCTTGTTTATTTCTGCTTATCTCAGTGGGGAAATGGAACAGAATTCTTCCTCAGCAAGACATGCATGTTGTAGGAGGCAACTAAAATGCCAGGAGCAAGGGGTTAGTAACTCCTTCTGTATATATAACTAAATTTAAAAGGAGAAACTTTCGCTTTTCTTTTTGGGCCACCCTGCCTCGGTGGGATATGGCTAGTTTGTTGAAAGAAGAGAGAATCTTGTAAATATTGCCTCATGTATACAATTTTGTTAATACAGTGAACCCCCGCATAACGATCACCTCTGAATGCGACCAATTGTGTAAGTGTATTTATGTAAGTGCGTTTGTACGTGTATGTTTGGGGGTCTGAAATGGACTAATCTACTTCACAATATTCCTTATGGGAACAAATTCGGTCAGTACTGGCACCTGAACATACTTCTGGAGTGAAAAAATATCGTTAACCGGGGGTCCACTGTATTACCTTCATGTAATGCCGACATCTACATTTTCAGAACTCTGTAGTGACAGAATTTTTTACTGTAACCCTGATATCTCAGTTTAATAATAAATATTCTTGAAAATCTAGTCTTTCCTTGCCACCTTGATCTACAATTCAAAACCCCTCATATTCTGCTTCTATTTTTGTGCACCTACTTGAATTCCTTCAGAAGAACTAAAGAAGAAAAATCAAAGGTAAAACATTTTATAGGGATGAAGTGAGGTGTAAGTACCCTTGTGAGTCCCTGAAAGGACATTGATGAATGAGGTTGGAGATAGCCTAAGCTAACCTATTTCTGAGATACAGTTTATAACCATTACTAAAGGTTCAATGAAACCATACAATATATGGGGCAGCAGTGCAGGTGAATGGCAAGAGTGATCTGAATCTATTTCTGGTCACGCTTGGCTGAGGAGCAATGGGCGAGGGGTTCAGTGAGTTGAAATATTCTGTGTGATGGTGTTTGTAGTGTTAATTAGGGTTGACTCTAACCATTGCTCTTTGTCTATATCTTCTGAAGTAGCTTCATTGCACATCATTAGGCAGAGCTGCTGTATATTAGGATGGCTGGCATGCACATTCATAGCATTAGTCAAACAAGTGTATTTTTGCTCTCCACTGTGTACATCCAAGTCTCTTGCTACCTCACCAACAAACTGTCACAGCCATCACAGGGAATGGTGTAAACCTCCAGATTTGTCCACCACCACAGGCTCTTGTGATGTCTGATACAGGAAGATGAGATTGTAGTGACATTGAGGTTGGCCATGTGTAAAAGTTGAGCAGCATTTTCAGGAACAGATGATGTAGGAAAAATAAGGAATCTATTATTTTTCTGTCCCAGAAGTGCTAATTGCTTAAGAGGTACTTTTGCAGTCTAGAATAAAAGTATAGGGAAGTGTGGAAAAAAAAAGAAGAAAAAAAATGTGGAGAAAAAATTCAGTGATGTTATGACAGTTGTTCTGTGAAGTTAGGACTTCATACTCTGTGCTTTGAGAAAAAAATCTTATACTCTCGTCTCTTAGTCCTTGTGTTGTGATGGACCCAGAAATGGATGAGGTCATTCATGTTAGTGGGTTGACAGAAGACCTAGAACTGGAAGCTGGTAGATGATTTGTAGATTGAGAAGTCTAGAAGAGGATCAGTGTCATTGTTTTCCTGCTTGAGTGTAAATTTCACAAGTGAGAAGGTTGGGTGTAAGTAAGGTTTATCTAGCATGGGCCAGTAGGATTACTGCAGTGCTCAACTTGTTTTCCTGCAATAAATTTAATATATTTTACATTTGAAACTTAATGGATAAACACTTATTTAACAGGAAAATTTTCATGCAGATGTTTCGAAACTCGACTCGTCGTCGGTACAGATTAGATGGTGGAACACCGACTCGCACTCCTCGGCGAACTCCTGGCAAACTTTATACCCCTTTTGATATAAGTACCCCTGCCACTCCAAATAGTTACACCAAGGGACCTAAAAGGCTCCAAAATGCTACTGCAAGAAGGTAAGCGTTAGACTAAAATTTTTGTGAATTTGAGGTTTTTCATTAGGTACTGGAGCAACAAAGAATAAATAAAACTTGGCACACACTTTCTCCAACCCCAGATAGTTTTTTTTTTTTTTAACTCATCGGCAGTTTCCCACCGAGGCAGAGTGACCCAAAATGAAAGGAAGAACTTTCATCATCATCATTCAACACTTTCACCATCACTCATACATAATCACTGTCTTTGCAGAGGCGCTCAGATAGGACAGTTTAGATGTCTCTCCAAACTACTAATATCCCACTCCCCTTCTTTAAAGTGTAGGCATTGTACTTCCCATTTCCAGGCTTTGAGTCTGGCTAACCAGTTTCCCTGAATCCCTTTACAAAATATTACCCTACTTGTCAGGTCCCTAAAGCCATTCATCTCTACTCACTCTTATCTGACACGCTAACACACACTTGCTGGAAGTCCAAGCCCCTCACCCACAGAACCTCGTTTACCCCCTCCCTCCAATGTTTTTCGAGGATGACCCCTACCTAGCCTTCCTTCCCCTACAGATTTATATGCTCTCCAAGTCATTCTACTTTGTTCCATTCTCTAAATGACCAAACCACCTCAACAACCCCTCTTCATCCCTCTGACTAATACTTTTAGTAACTCCACACCTCCTAATTTCTACAGTAAGAATTCTCTGCATAATATTTACACCACACATTGCTCTTAGACACTCCATCTTCCCTAATTCCAGCCTTCTTGCTGTAGCATTTACAACCTTAGCTTCCCACCTATATAAGAGTGTTGATACCATGTTGATGCCTTCATGGATAACGTTTTTTGTCTCCACAAATACCTCAGTGCACCATTCACCTTTTTTCCTTCAATTCTGTACTTAACCTTATCCTTCTTAAACCTATCTGCTGACAAGTAAACTTCCAAATATCTGAACACTTTCATCCAATTTTTCTTTATCTAAAATCATTTGATACCCTCATCGCCTTACTCTTATCTGTGTTCACTTTCAACTTTCTACCTTCACATACCCTTCCAAACTCGTCCACTAACATTTGCAACTTTTCTTTAGAATCTCTCAAAAGCACAGTATCATAAGCAAAAAGTAACTATCAACTCCCATTTTGTATTTGATTCCCCATAATTTAATCCTACCCCTCTCCCCAACACCTTAGCATTTACTTCTTTTACAAACCCATCTATATAAATGTTAAACAACTATCGTGACATTACACATCCCTGTCTAAGATCTACTTTTACTGGGAAGTAATCTCCCTCTCTCCTACACAACCTAACCTGAGCCTCACTATCTTCATAAAAACTCTTACAGAATTTAGTAACTTACTTCCTATTCCATTCACTTGCAACATCTGCCACATTGCTCCCTAATCCACTCTATCATATGCCTTTTCTAAATCCATAAATGCAATGAAAACTTCCCTCCCTTTATTTAAATACTGTTCGTATTTTTTTTTTCTCAACAACTTGGCCGTCTCCCACCGAGGCAGGGTGACCCAAAAAAGAAAGAAAATCCCCGAAAAGAAAATACTTTCATCATCATTCAACACTTTCACCACACTCACACATTATCACTGCTTTTGCAGAGGTGCCCAGAATACAACAGCTTAGAAGCATATACAGTGGACCCCCGCATAACGATTACCTCTGAATGTGACCAATTATGTAAGTGTATGTAAGTGCGTTTGTACGTGTATGTTTGGGGGTCTGAAATGGACTAATCTACTTCACAATATTTCTTATGGGAACAAATTCGGTCAGTACTGGCACCTGAGCATACTTCTGGAGTGAAAAAATATCGTTAACCGGGGGTCCACTGTACAGTGGAACCTCAAAAATCGAACTGCTCCCAACACAACCAGTTATGCAAGTGTATTTTTATAAGTGTTTTTATAAGTGTATTTTTGAGGGTCTGAAATGGACTAACCTAATTTACATTATCCCTCATGGGAATAAATTCATTCGGTAAAGGCACTCAAACAGCCTTCTGGACCAAAGAAAGTTCGATATTTGAGGTTCCACTGTACGTATAAAGATACACAACATATCCCTCCAAACTGCCAATATCCCAAACCCCTCCTTTAAAGTGCAGGCATTGTACTTCCCATTTCCAGGACTCAAGTCCGACTATATGAAAATAACCGGTTTCCCTGAATCCCTTCACTAAATATTACCCTGCTCACACTCCAACAGATCGTCAGGTCCCAAGTATCATTTGTCTCCATTCACTCCTATCTAACACGCTCATGCACGCTTGCTGGAAGTCCAACCCCCTCGCCACAAAACCTCCTTTACCCCCTCTTTCCAACCCTTTCGAGACGACCCCTCCCCCTCTTTCCTTCCGCTATAGATTTACATGCTTTCCCCATGTCATTCTACTTTGATCCATTTTCTCTAAATGACCAAACCACCTCAACAACCCGTTCTTCTGCCCTCTAACTAATGCTTTATTAACTCCACACCTCCTAATTTTCCACACCCGAATTTTCTGCATAATATTTACACCACAAAATTGCCCTTAGACAGGACATCTCCACTGCCTAACCGTCTCCTCGCTGCTGCATTTACCACCCAAGCTTCACATCCATATAAAAGTGTTGGTACTACTATACTTTCATACATTACCTTCTTTGCCTCCATAGATAACGTTTTTGACTCCACATATACCTCAACGCACCACTCACCTTTTTCCCTCATCAATTCTATGATTAACCTCATCCTTCATAAATCCATCCGCCGACACGTCAACTCCCAAGTATCTGAAAACATTCACTTCTTCCATACTACTCCTCCCCAATTTGATATCCAATTTTTCTTTATCTAATCATTTGATACCCTCATCACCTTACTCTTTTCTATGTTCACTTTCAACTTTCTACCTTTACACACATTCTCAAACTCATCCACTAACCTTTGCAATTTTTCTTTAGAATCTCCCATAAGCACAGTATCATCAGCAAAAAGTAACTGTGTCAATTCCCATTTTGAATTTGATTCCCCATAATTTAATCCCACCCCTCTCCCGAACACCCTAGCATTTACTTCTTTTACTTTTACAACCCCATCTATAAATATATTAAACAACCATGGTGACATTACACATCCCTGTCTAAGACCTACTTTTACCGGGAAGTATTCTTCCTCTCTTCTACACACCCTAACCTGAGCTTCACTATCCTCATAAAAGCTCTTTACAGCATTTAGTAACTTACCACCTATTCCATAAACTTGCAACATCTGCCACATTGCTCCTCTATCCACTCTATCATATGCCTTTTCTAAATCCATAAATGCAATAAAAACTTCCCTACCTTTATCTAAATACTGTTCACATATATGCTTCAATGTAAACACTTGATCTACACATCCCCTACCCACTCTGAAGCCTCCTTGCTCATTCCGCAATTCTACATTCTGTCTTACCTCTAATTCTTTCAATTATAACTCTACCGTATACTTTTCCTGTATACTCAGTAAACTTATTCCTCTATAATTTTTACAATCTCTTTTGTCCCCTTTCCCTTTATATAAAGGGACTATACATGCTCTCCGCCAATCCCTAGGTACCTTCCCCTCTTTCATACATTTATTAAACAAAAGTACCAACCCACTCCAACACTATATCCCCCCTGCTTTTAACATTTCTGTCATGATCCCATCAGTTCCAACTGCTTTACCCCCTTTCATTCTACGTAATGCCTCACGTACCTCCACCACACTTACATTCTGCTCTTCTTCACTCCTAAAAGATGGTATACCTCCCTGGCCAGTGCATGAAATTACCGCCTCCCTTTTTTCCTCAACATTTAAAAGTTCCTAAAAATATTCTCGCCATCTACCTAATACCTCCCTCTCCCCATCTACTAACTCCCCTACTCTGTTTTTAACGGACAAATCCATACTTTCCCTAGGCTTTCTTAACTTGTTTAACTCACTCCAAAATTTTTTCTTATTTTCATTAAAATTTCTTGACAGTGCCTCTCCCACTCTTTCATCTGCTCTCCTTTTGCACTCTCACCACTCTTCACCTTTCTTTTACTCTCCATATACTCTGCTCTTCTTATAACACTTCTGCTTTGTAAAAACCTCTCGTAAGCTACCTTTTTCTCTTTTATCACACCCTTTACTTCATCATTCCACCAATCACTCCTCTTTCCTCCTGCCCCCACCCTCCTATAACCACAAACTTCTGCCCCACATTCTAATACTGCATTTTTAAAACTATTGCAACCCTCTTCAACCCCCCCACTACTCATCTTTGCACTAGCCCACCTTTCTGCCAATAGTCGCTTATATCTCGCCCGAACTTCCTCCTCCCTTAGTTTATACACTTTCACCTCCCTCTTACTTGTTGCCACCTTCCTCTTTTCCCATCTACCTCTTACTCTTAACTGTAGCTACAACTAAATAATGATCTGATATATCAGTTGCCCCTCTATAAACATGTACATCCTGGAGCCTACCCATCAACCTTTTATCCACCAATACATAATCTAACTACTTTCATTACGTTCTACATCATACCTTGTATATTTATTTATCCTCTTTTTCATAAAATATGTATTACTTATTATCAAATTTCTTTCTACACATAGCTCAATTAAAGGCTCCCCATTTACATTTACCCCTGGCACCCCAAATTTACCTACTACTCCCTCCATAACATTTTTACCCACTTTAGCATTGAAATCCCCAACCACCATTACTCTCACACTTGATTCAAAACTCCCCACGCATTCACTCAACATTTCCCAGAATCTCTCTCTCTCCTCTACACTTCTCTCTTCTCCAGGTGCATACACGCTTACTATAACCCACTTTTCACATCCAATCTTTATTTTACTCCACATAATCCTTGAATTTATGCATTTGTAGTCCCTCTTTTCCTGCCATAGCTTATCCTTCAACATTATTGCTACTCCTTCTTTAGCTCTAACTCTATTTGAAACCCCTGACCTAATCCCATTTATTCCTCTCCATTGAAACTCTCCCACCCCCTTCAGCTTTGTTTCACTTAAAGCCAGGACATCCAGTTTCTTCTCATTCATAACATCCACAATCATCTCTTTCTTATCATTTGCACAACATCCACGCACATTCAGACTTCCCACTTTGACAATTTTCTTCTTCTTATTCTTTTAGTAATCTTTACAGGAAAAGGGGTTACTAGCCCATTGTTCCCGGCATTTTAGTTGACTTTTACAACACGCATGGCTTACGGAGGAAAGATTCTTATTCCACTTCCCCATGGATATAAAAGGAAAAGTAATAAGACCAAGAACTATTAAGATAAAATCAAAGAAAACTCAGATTAGTGTGTATAAATAAACGTGTACATGTATGTGTAGTGTGACCTAAGTGTAAGTAGAAGTAGCAAGACGTACCTGTAATCTTGCATATTTATGAGACAGACAAAAGACACCAGCAATCCTACCATCATGTAAAACAATTACAGGCTTTCGTTTTACACTGACTTGGCAGGACGGTAGTACCTCCCTGGGTGGTTGCTGTCTACCAACCTACTACCTACAACTAAGTAAATCTAAATATTGTTGCCTCGGTGGGAGACGGCCGACTTGTTGAAAAAAAAAATATGTTGAAACTTATTCTTATTGCTATATGCAAGATGATTGGCTGTGCCTTCCAGAATTCCACAATACCTATTTGCATCACTGATTGCTGCTGGCAAATTCTCTACTGTTACAACTTCATTCCAACTTTTCCTTTGTATTATGTCTGACTGCAGATTTAATTCTCATCTTGTGGTAAAATGAAAATTAAACTTAATCCCTTGCACTTCAGTGCAGAGATGATAGGAAATATGGTAAAAAGAAAATCATGTTATTCTTCAGTTAAATGTATAAAAAGGTAAAATATAAAAAAATTAGAGAATTTGAAGTAGATATGGTGTGATTGGTGGAATAATGAAGTAAAGGGTGCAACAAAAGAGAAAAAAGTAGCTTATGAGAGGTTTTTACAAAGAAGTGATATAAGAAGGGCAGAGTATGTGGAGAGTAAAAGAAAGGTGAAGAGTGGTGAGAGAGTGCAAAAGGAGAGTAAATGATAAAGTTGGAGAGGCATTGTCAAAAAATTTTGCTGAAAAGAAGAAGTTTTGGAGTGAGATAAACAGGTTAAGCAAGCCTAGGGAATGCATGGATTTGTCATTTAAAAAAAAGAGTAGGGGAGTTAGTTGATGGGGAACTGGAGGTATTGAGTAGATGGCGGAAATATTTTGAGGAACTTTTAAATGTCGATGAAGAAGGGGAGGCAGTAATTTCATGCACTGGCCAGGGAGGTATAACATCTTAAAGGAGTGAAGAAGAGCAGAATGTGAGTGTAGGGGAGGTGCAGCTGGAATTGATGGGATCATGACAGAAATGTTAAAAGCACGGGGGGATATAGTGTTGGAGTGGTTGGTGTTTTTGTTGAATAAATGTATGAAAAGGGGGAAGGTACCTAGGGATTGGCAGAGTGTGTGTAGTTCCTTTATATAAAGGAAAAGGGGACAAAAGAGATTGTAAAAATTGTAGGGGAATAAGTTTACCGAATATACCAGGTAAAGTGTATGGTAGGGTTATTGTTGAAGGAATTAAGAGGTAAAACATAGAGTAGGATTGCAGATGAGGAAGGAGGCTTTAGAGTGGGTAGGGGATGTATAGATCAAGTGTTTACGTGGAAGCATATACACCTACCATCCGACTTACGACCTGCTCGACTTACGACAACTCGACCTACGACCTGCTCGACTTACGACCACTCGACCTACGACCCCTCGACTTACGACTGTGTTTTTTATGCCAAATTTCTGGGGGAAAAAAACTGTGTGTTTTACAGTGTTTATCCTAAACCTTACAGTATAAAATACAGTACTAACAACATAAAAAGTAAAGTAAAACATGAAATACCAAAATAAAACAATAAAATAAAGTCATTACAAAAATGTTTTGTTGATATTCAGTAGTAAAGTTCGACTTACGACCATTTCGACTTTCGGCCGGTTTCTCGGAACCGAACTCGGTCGTAAGTCGGATGGTAGGTGTATATGAACAGCGTTTAGATAAAGGTAGGAAAGTTTTCATTGCATTTATGGATTTAGAAAAAGGCATATCATAGTGGATAGGGGAGCAATGTGGCAGATGTTGCAAGTATATGGAATAGGTAGTAAGCTACTAAAGGCTGTAAAGAGTTTTTATAAGGATAGTGAGGCTCAGGTTAGGGTGTGTAGGAGAGAGAGATTACTACCCGGTAAAAGCAGGTCTTAGCCAGGGATGTGTAATGTCACCATGGTTGTTTAATATATTTATAGATGGGATTGTAAAAGAAGTAAGTGCTAGGGTGTTGGGGAGAGGGGTGGGATTAAATTATGGGGAGTCAAATACAAAATGGGAGTTAACAGAGTTAATTTGTATTGAGGATACTGTGCTTTTGGGCGAGTCTAGAGAAAAGTTGCAAATGTTGGTGGATGTGTTTGAGAGGGTGTGTAAAGGTAGAAAGTTGAAAATGAATGTAGATAAGAGTAAGGTGATGAAGGTATCAAACAGTTTAGACAAAGAAAAATTGGATATCACACTGGAGAGAGGGAGTATGGAAGAAGTGAATGTTTTCAGATATTTGCTAGTTGTCAGCGGATGGGTTAACCATAGATTTGATGAAGGAAAAAAGGTGAGTTGTGCGTTGAGGTATCTGTGGAGGCAAAATAAAACGTTTTCCATGGAGGCAAATAAGGTAATGTACAAAAGTATAGTGGTACCAATACTCTTATATGGGTGTGAAGCTTGGATTGTAAATGCTGTGGTGAGGTGGTGGCGGCTGGAGGCACTGGAAATATCGTGTCTACGGGCAGTGTGTGGTGTAAATAGTATTATGCAAAGAATTCGGAGTGTGGAAATTAGGAGGAGGAGGAGGAGGTGGTTTGGAGTTACTAAAATTATTAGAGGGTTGAAGAGGGGATTGTTGAGGTGGTTTGGTCATTTAGAAAGAATGGAACAAAGTAGAATGACTTAGAGAGTGTATAAATCAATAGGGGAAGGCCCCTCAAGGAAGGTTCCTTGATGCTGGTGAGGGGCTCTTGAATACCTTCCACATCTGCCCCACAGGCGCTGTATAATCCTACGGGTTTAGCGCTTCCCCCTTAATTATCATCATGTAGGGGAAGGAAGGCAGGTTAAGGGTCATCCTAGAAAAGGTTGGAGGGAAGGGGTGAAGGAGGTTTTGTGTGTGTGGGGCTTGGACTTCCAGCAAGAATGCGTGAGCATGTTAGATAGGAGTGAATGGAGATGAATGGTTTTTGGGACCTGACAAACTGCTGGAGTGTGAGCAGAGTAATATTTTGTGCAGGGATTCAGGGAAACCAGTTAGCTGGACTTGAGTCCTGGAAATGGGAAGTGCAATGCCTGCACTTTAACCCGTAAACGGTCCAAGCAGATCTACGTTCACATGTGTAGTGCTCCAAAAGTAGATCTACGTTTTTTTTACACATTTTCAAATGTAAAAAAAAAAAAAATAAGATCTACCTTTTTTACGTACTTTCAAATGTTGAAAAATCATATATATATACGTTTGGACCGTTTACGGGTTAAAAAAGGGGTTTGGGATATTGGCAGTTTGGAGGGACTTCTAAACTGTCATATCTGAGTGCCTCTGCAAAGAGTGATTGTGTATGAGGGATGGTGAAAGTGTTGAATGATGATGAAAGTTTTTTCTTTCTTTTGGGTTTTTCTTTCTTTTTATGTCACCCTGCCTCGGTGGGAAATTACTTGGAGAGAGTTCCAGGGGTCAACGCCCTCCGTGGCTCGGTCTGTGACCAGGCCTCCTGGAAATGGCCGATGTGTTTAAAAAAAAAAATGGTCATTAGTGTATTGTATGTCTAATGGTACTTTTTTATTTTGAATTTAGCAAGGGGTTACTGTAATGATGAAAATTTGTATTGTTACTCTTCTAGGAACATCAATGGTAATGAGAATCGGGGTGTAATCCGAACACCAAAGCACTCTGCAAGTGCCCCTACAAGTTCTCGTCAGTGGGCCCATTTCCATTCTCCTTCTCAGTCTTTACAAAGGGATATGGCAGCAGTGAACCGAGGGTTGAAAGATCTTGAACATGTCAGGAGTGGAATCCTTCATAATGGAAGAGAGAAGTGGATACAGTTTTGTTGAATGTGAGCCCAAGTGTTAACTAAGAAGTTTTGTACATATGTTGTAACATGCTAGCATATATTCATTACAGGAACTGGTAATGCAATTCTTTTATATTGAAGATGAAATCAGAAAATATATTTTTCCAGCATTTCAAGTGGTTTTCCTGCTTTACTTTCTAGAGCAATAGGTTTTTGTATGTAAGAAAATCATTTTAATACATATTCCTAGGGAAGAAATAATATTAGTAATTTTTTTTTTCCAGCAGTTAGCAAATATGCTTTTATGCTTATATCTCAAGTTTAATCTGTATGGAAAAGCTACAGTATGCTTCAGTGTCAAGCACTAATTGTATTTGCATACAAAGAGTAAGTTTTTTCCAAGAATGTAATACTCATTAGCAGAGGCAGCTCCCTGATATCTCAGATGGTTAAATTCTTACAAGAAAATTTTCTGTAGCTATTTGACAGTATATATGATGGTCTGACTATCTCCCTTTAACACCTTAGTAATATCCTATGTCATGATTCTTCCTTTTATTCTGTCATTCGTTCTACCACACTTCTTACATGTGATCTTTATTAACCCATCCATCTTGCTCACTACCATGCCTTTTCTCATTCACTTACTGGCATTTGTTTGTCATTCTCTTCACCTAGATTTTATACAGGTGCTGATTTACTCTGTGGCTCCTGGAGTTGTGTAAATATGCAAATGATAATTTTGTTTACCTGTCAGTCTTAAAATAACCTCTGCTTATATTTGGTATACACTTTTCTTAGCTATTTGTTTTTAATAGTTGTTACTTTTTGTAATACTGCTGAAATTCCTTTGCAGTTAAGAAGACCCAGTATGAGACTAGGCCATTGGGGTGATGGTCCCTGGTAGTGATGGGAGGGTGGCAAATTTTTTGTTGCTGTGATACTCAGTTTTAGGCCATTACCAATACTTACTTTTAGGCTGATGCCTATACTCAATTTTAGACTGATACCATCACAGTTATCTGATACTCACTTATACGGGAAGCAAACTGCTAATTAGCAGGTGGTGCTGTTTGCCTGACTAGGGTGCAGCAGATAGCAGGGATGGTGGTGTCTACTAAATGATGCAGAAACATTATTGACAAACGATTAAGACATGCATTGAGTTTAAATTCCAGTGCTAACAAAATCTCTTATGTGCCCAGGGGCTCCACTGAGGCTCTTAGGTCTGACTTCCACCTCTGGGTGATGGATTTCAGTTAAACTGTTAAAGGGACGCTGAACACTTTTTTTTTTTTTTTTATACTGTATAGTACCCCATCAGCAGTCTTTTGCCAAGGTAGGCTGACCCAAAAATAGAAATATTCACCATCATACTTTCAATATCTGTTTTACCAGAAGTTCCTAAACATAATTCAAGTGATCCTTCAAACTGATACATTTCCACTCCTGTTTTAGAGTGCAGGCACTGTACATCCCATTTCCAGGACACTCGGCTAATCATTGTCATTTAATCCGTAAATGCTATTTTGCACACATTCCAATATGTCAAATCCCTAAAACCATATATATCCACTCCCTTCAATCAAACATTTTTCCACTTGTGTACTCTCCTACTCTTCCTAAGACAATGCCTATCCCTCCTTTCTTCTACTCTGTATTCTATACCCTCTTGGTCATCCTGTTCTGCTTCATCCTCTAAATGCCCAGATGACATTAACAATCCCTCCTCTGCCATCTGAATAGTACCTTTCATACTTCAGTCTTCTAATATTTACTTCCAAATTTTTTGCAAGATTTTCACATCACACATTGCTCTCAAATATGACATGACTGTTTCCAATCTTATTGATGCAACATTTAACATCTATGCCTTGCGCCAATATAAAAGTTTTTTTTTTTTTTTTTTTTTTTCCAACAAGGCGGCCGTCTCCCACCGAGGCAGGGTGACCCAAAAAAGAAACAAAAAATCCCCAAAAAGAAAATACTTTCATCATCATTCAACACTTTCACCACACTCACACATTATCACTGTTTTTGCAGAGGTGCTCAGAATACAACAGTTTAGAAGCATATACGTATAAAGATGCACAACATATCCCTCCAAACTGCCAATATCCCAAACCCCTCCTATAAAAGGGTTGGTACCATTATATTCTAGTACATTTTTTGTTTTTCCTCTCTACACAAACTTCTTTTTCTTCACAGATGTTTCAACACTTCTATCATTTTCTCCCTACATTTATTTTATAATTCACCTTGTCTTTCATAGACTCATCTGCCAATATGTTAACTATTTTAAGACATTTGTTTCCTCTATACTCCTCATGTTTACTTGTTTTCAAACTTACTTTCTATTTTGTTTTTATATAAATTTGTTATCTATAAAGTGAAGCAACATTTCCTGCTTGTACTTACACCCTCA